GGGGAAGGGAGGAACTTGCATGAAAACTGTACAGCCAGGCAAATTCGAATACGTGACTACAGATGGGTTGGGTCTGCGGCCAGCAACCATTTATAACATTTATAAAATCATGCTCATAAAAAACTACTGGTCTTACCATGGGCCGGTTGGCTGAGTGGTACATGCGTGTAACTGTTGATAAACAGATCAGAAGTTCAAATCCTGTGTGATACAATGAGAGCCCCTTGATGGGGTCCGGTGGTCACGGTCAGAAATCGGAGCTTACACAAGAAAGAACGGCACTACTCATCTTAAATCACTACAGCTATAATGACCGGGTGTTCCATTCGTGTGAAGACGGTAGCGAACTGAGAGGTTAAGCCCAGAAATATCAGCCTACACAAAGGAAAAAGACACTACTGCTCGTAGATAACCAGCGCAAAATTCATGAAAATAAAAAGGTCAAGGCCAGAAATAGCAGCTTATCACAGGAAAAAAAGAGGCCCTAGTGGTGTTAAATCACTATTATCGATTCACTAGTGATCGGTGAGAAATTTTGCTGCCCATCTTCCTACAGTCATGAGAACAGCAAAATGAAAAGGATTCTAAAAAGATCTGTCATCAAGACGAGATGACACGTTAAGCAAGAAAGTTGAAAAAGTGGAATGCAGAAGGATTTCGCATAAACCCTTCAGGGATCATCTGAAGCAGATACCCGTGAAAGATTTTCACCGCTTATCGACAAGGAATCTTGTCGAATTTTTTCAATGATAGTGTTGTCGTTTTGCCGACGTATGAACCGTGTTCACTAACTTCAGCATTTGGCGATCCGGGCAATCAACAACTCGGAGCAGTGGGCCTACGTTCCACAGATGACCGTCGTCAGATGTCTTGCTCGCTGCCTTTGGTCAATAGCAATACCCTAGCTTGTACGATTCTCAAGAGAGAAATTGTTACGACTGTCACCAAACTGATCAGAGCATAAAGTGTGCTGTACTGTCGAGCCTCAGGCTTGCTGACCTGCATTCACTTTGCAACCACAGGTTGACTGTATGACCTGCACATACTCGTCATCGCTGTGGCAACACCACCGCCGCCATGCCAAGTTGATAACTGTCATCTGCGACCTGTGATTCCCTTCTTACCACATTCATGTACAGAAAGAGGTAGGCAACTCCGCCACCGACGTGCCAAGTTGATAACTGTCATCCGAGATCCACAATTCTCTTCTCATCATATCCACGTACAGAAAGAGGGAGAGAGGACGACACACAGAGACACACA